CACTCTCGCTTTTCCTCTACTCCTTCATCAAACCACATTACCTTTCTCTCTTCCCTTATCTTCCTTTCTTTGTTTCCCGTTAACGACGCAGACGCGGCTTGTCGTGGGCAACCAAGATTCCGTAAACGGAGACTACGGAAGCCTACGCAATCACAGCTACTCCGCTAAGCGCGCCCTGGTCGGTGCTGCACGGATAGACGGGATGCGACGAATGACAGTTTTTGTAAGCGTCACGCACACTAGCCCGAGACCGGACGGAACGGACGGAGGATGGGACGGAACGGACGGAGGATGGGACGGGACGGACGGAGGATGGGACGGAACGGACGGAGGATGGGACGGAACGGACACTTCGGACAGTTTGTATCCTTCTGCCGTGTTTTGTATTGTGACCGCTTCATAAAGTTAAGAAGCAATAGATTTGTGCTCATTTTTAATACAGTAAGAGGAAAATGTGGCAAGTAGTCGAAGAAAGCTCAGAGTCTGAATTCATAATATAAAGAGAACGAGAAATTTTGCGTGTTGTATCCCGACCTGTTTCAAGATGAAACATTATTACACAACTTCATTATGTCTACTAAATTATTAATTATATTTGATATTGTGAATAAAATATATAAATAAATATTTTGGTAAATGTTGTAAGTGTATAAAATTTTACTGCAGTAAAGAACAAAATCATTATTATATAACTTTATTTGAATGCTTTCGAAAATTATCGGCACATACAAGACAAAATAATTAAAACAGACAAGTCACACAAAATTAACTTTCATTGATTACTTTAGCAATGATTCATTCCAAAATATGGTATAATTTATTCAGTTTCAGTAATATTGCACCGCCAGTATCCAGTATTTTAAATTTGGAGAATGTCACTCCTTGATACCGATAGCAGATAACAAACTAAATTACTTTTCGGAGTGTTGGGTAATACCTCAAATAAAACTGAATATAGTGTTGTACAACTGGGGATAACTCTAGATAAAAATATTGAAATTGGACACATCCACATTCGCTCCATACGCTTCACATTCCCTGGCAACTGAAATGGGACAACTGCCGACCTGTCCGATTTCACTGCCGATGACGCTATCGATAAGGATGAAACGGCAGGGCGAATGCTCAAAATATATTTCCTTCGGATTTTTCGCAAATGACGAAGATGCGGATCGTCTCCTCACTACCTTGTCGGCCTAGTGAGCGCACCCTTAACAATGTCATCGACTGTTAAAAATCTCCTTTCGTACAATCCGTCTGTGTACCGCGCGCGTTGCCCGGTTCAAACCCGATCGAAGCCGTAGCGAAAAAATTCTTCCTTCGGAGGGGAAGTAAAGCCGGCTGTCCCCTGTTAGTAGATTTACTTGCATGTAAATCATGCCCTCAAGCCTAAATGACGCCTCTGAGCTAAATTCAAATCGCCTGTTTCTCGCCCAAGAAATACCTTCTTTCTCTGCTATATGAAAGGAGCGTAGCGAAATTTGCGAGGTCTGACGGAAGAGCGGGGCCTGATGGCCCGAGTCTCGCCACGTGAAACAAGACATTAATTCAATTCAATACCGACCCAGTGCTTGCTAGATTTCAGTCTAGCGGCACGCAAACGTGAAATGACGGACGTTGAAGTGCGTCCGTCGTGGCATGAAATGAACACACGTGACACACGAGCGCTCTGCGTTACGTGGGTTGAAATTAGCGTCCGTTATCTAGCGGACGACGGACGTCAAACGCTGGCTAACATGCGTTACTCCTTGACGCACATTGTGGTTTCAGTGGAAAATATTTGGTTGTTGGCACTCTGCATTGCGATGGACTGAAGCTATAAAATGTTTATAATAAAATGTTTATATGTAATACATTTATATATAAATAAATGCATAATACATAAATAATATATAACTAATACTTTTATATATAAACACATACGAAAATTGAAGCGCAATCGTAATATGGATAGAATATACACGGAATCCAAGAGCAGAAGGGCCATTATGACTCGTCAATATTTAAAAATAAATTTATAAAACATACGTGGAGGAAATAATTACGTTTTTACTCAGCATTTCAGTGGAAAACTAATGTGAAGAAATCCATCACTGTCTTGTTAGAATCCACCGACTAGTATAGAATTCAGCACATAAATAACGTTTATTATTTATCGGATGAACCTACTATTGCTATATTTCATTTTTTAGCTGTTTCACTGGGACATAACCTACAATTAGAATTTCCACGTTATTAAAATTTGTTTACTATTTACTCGCGATCATCCACAATTCTAAGCGAACATCAAACGTTCTCACGTGTCGCGAGCGTGATGAAAGAATGCACATAATTTTGACGCACGTTGACGACGTCCACACGAGCAACACTCGTGTGCAGCTAGCATGAGGCTAACGTTCACAGTGCAGCCAAATTATCGGTCGCTCACTACCGGATGACTGAGAGTGAAATCATCATACTTTATTACATCTGAAAAAGAACTGAATGTTTGCTGTCGTTAGAGGTTTCAAACATTTTGGCCGAAATCGGCTTCAACGTGACCGCTGCATTACCCCGTGCCCGACGCGCTGCTCCCCGGCGCACCCGAAATCGTCCGAATATTCCCGAAATTCCATGCCCCTTTCTTTTAAACATCTGCCATAAGCACTCTTATGTTCTTTAACATGTACTGAAGACGATTTCGATAGTGTAGATGACCTTGATTCTCCAGCTGATTTCGGGTGAATGGAACCAACAAAACGAAACTTTGGGCGACAACCTATGCTTTCGGGTGCCGTCGAAAGAGGTTGTTCGGGTTCACTATGACCATTTCCGTGCGGGTTTAAACGAATCCCTCACATTGGACAGAAATATATGATGTCGTACGACCGACTCTTCGTTCAAAATCGGCTTCAACGTGACCACCGCCGCCTTACCCCGTGCCCCACGCGGCGCGGCGCGGCGTGGCGCGGAGCGGCGCGGCGTGGCGT